GCTGGTCACACCTTTCCTCAGCATCAGCCAGGCTATCTGCTTCCTGGAGGGGAGACAGAATTTTTTGGGTTGTAGTATTTTAAACTTTCTGTGCTCTGTCTTTTGTATCACTGAGTAGGCTTGTGTTAAAATGGGAGCTGAACCTGACTTTCAAGCCCAGCAACTGGAAAATCTTGACTAGTGTTTACTGTAAACCTCATCATTTGGAATCAATATTTATTCTATAATATCTGTGTCTCCTAAATATGCCTCGCTGGTTGAGTGCCCATGACAATGCTTCATAGCACAAACACAAAAGCACAACCGAACAGTGGTTACTTCCATCACTAATTTCGTCAGGAGCAAGGGCTTAGTGTTTTTTTTTTTTTCTGATGGAAAATGCATCTAGCAGCTTTTTCTTTTTAATTGTCTCAACAAAAGTCTTAAAATATTTGGGATGTAATGGCTTTTACATTTCTGACAATAAATTAGTTGAGAAGGGTACTTATCACTTTCCTACAGGCATTAAAATTTCTGCAAGACCAATAAAGTTCTTGCCCTCATCTACCTCTGTGGCTTCTTTAAAGACCACATCAAGCATTTCCTTAACTAATTGATCACTTCATTTGGTGTTAAGAAACTGCCTTTTCCTAATTGAGTTTGAATAGGAAGTATCTGTGTTTCTGAAAGTAATCAAGGCCTTCTAGTGTAGCTGTAGATGGGAAAAGTGTGTGCTTCCCTGGTTTGCCTTTACTGCATTAGACAGAAGCACTTCTTTGAAAGCTGAGATGTTTCCCTTCCAGTTCAGAGCTCTCAGATGTGCAGCACATGTTGGCTGCTGTTTCATGGCTCTTTCCTCAGACAGCAGGAATGGTGAGTGTCGTGTGGGGCTGCCATAGGTCTCACCCTGCCCATGCCAGTGCCTGTTTCCTCAGCATTACAGTGCCTTAGAAGGTGTGATTTAGACTGTTTTCTACTACCCATCAGTTCCTGTGAGTTACTGCGTAGGATAAGATGCCTTCTGACAGTTTATCATTCTTTTTCCAGGGAGAAACAAACAGTGATACTCACAGCCTGCACTTGGAGCTGCAGGTCATTTTTCTCCTGCACCAGTGCTACCATTTTCTCCTCCAGTTCCTTCCGCTTTGCCTCAGACTTTGCAAGCTCTTCCTTGGTTTTCTCAAACTCCTCCTTCATGTTGGCCATCTCCTTCTCAGACTCTGCACTCTTCAGCAAGGGCTTGATCTTGAAGAAGAGCTTCATCCAGGGCCAGTGTTTGACATTCATGAATGAACGAACGTTGTACTGGATGCAGAAGATGGACTCTCTGAAATGAAATTCATGTGATTATTACACAGCTCTGCTTTGATTAATTTAAACTTCATTAGCCAAATACCATGAGAATTAAATAAATTTTAGAAAAGTCTACCTCCTTTCCACCATTTTCTTATACTCCACTCTCATCAGGAAGCCCCTGCACCTGGCCTGTGTGCGAGTGATGATTTCTGCCAACTTGTCATCTCTCATCTCCTCCAGGAGTCCCAGCAGCCCAGCTTTGAAGAACACCTTCAGAGAGGAAATGGTGCAGCATGTCATTGTGAGGTAGTACAGGCTAAACACACAGCGTCTTTCAGTATCCTAACAGACCTTAATGGCCATGACCAGCATCACCTTGGACCTTCTCCCTGCCCTCTGTCCAAGGGCTTAGAGCTTCCCATAGTCTCAGACTTAAGCATTCAGTCCCTGTCTGAGCTGTGTGTCATGAGTACTGTTTCCAGTTCAGCCACAGCCTCAACCACCCACATGCCTGATCACGGACCCCAGTGAGCTCTACCATGACCTGCTCACTTACTTCCTGGCTTGATGTTAAACATATGTCATTGCTGTGTATAGGTCCATAAATTAAAGAATAGGGCCTTGCCTTGTTAGCCTACCTATACCTGACCCTGCCAAATTGTGAAAACCAAGGCTTTATGGCTTCACCTCAGACCTTCCTTATTGTAACAAACCTGCCTGATGACCTGGACTCCTGGTTGAATCTGACTTCCACTCCCAGGTCATCCTCATTTGCCTTGATAGAGTACAGTGGTGCTGGGCACTTCCTGATTGAGGCCTCTCCCTGCCAGCTCTGGTATGTCATTGTGCTGTGCCCCATCCCCCTGGCAGAGCAGCCCACCCTCACTGCTTTTGACAAACTTTTAACACAGGTCTTGTTTTTACCTTGGTGTGACCAAATTTGTACTGGGTGTGGTCCACATCAATGGACCCAAGGAGCTTCTCAGAAGCCTTCTTGTTGTCCATGAACTGTCCCTCTGGGATAGCACTGGCATTGAGTACTCTGTATCTGCAAAGGAAAACATGAAGAAATTGTCAAAACCACTACTGTGATTGAACCCCCAGTCTTCTAAGACTGTCCCATTGAACAAATCTTATGCCTGGAGACAGTTCAATTCAGGATATGGGGATTGTTTTTAATATATAATACTAATTCTAAGTACAAGAGAATCCTGATCTCAGCAATGCCCTGCCATCATGAACTGATGGCGAAACATTTCTATATTACTGTTCACTACTAATTTAAAGTATGAAGTTTAAAGTATATCACAATACTCAGGCTCTTCAGCTTGGTCTGAATGGGCAGAGAGGTGTAGTGCTCTTACCTCTGTTTGAAGTCAGCATAGAGGACTCTGCTGGGGAACCCTTTCCTGCAGATCCTGATCCCTTCCAACACGCCGTTACAGCGCAGCTGGTGCAGCACCAACTCGTGCTCCATGGCACCTGACAAAGATCAGCATTAGTGACTACCCCGCTCTTTGACACTCAGGAAAGGAGCTTCTGCTGCTTAAGTTTTCCTCCTCTTGGGCGTCCTTACCAGGTGTTTTTGTTTCATTTGGGATGATGCAGCGTACAAAGTGAGGGTGGGTGCTCCTCAGGTTGGCCATCAGCTTGTTTAAATTCTCCTGTGAGATCATCAAACAAAGTTTATATTATTAAGTGTGAGCACTGGAATCTTAACAGAGGATGCATCAAACTGGGAGTTTCAGGTTGCAGACTTGTCTTCTCTAAAACAACTCCCAGAAGTCCCAAAGGGAAAACTGGAAGTAGAAACAAATTTTTGGTTTTGAAATTCTTTTATAGAATAATGGTTAGTATTACTTTTCCTTGACCTCCTCATCCAAACACAGGGCTGCTATTTCACAGTTTTCCTTTGAGTTGGTAATTCTTGTGGTACATATTTGGGCATTTAAAGTAAATCACACGTATTCTTGGTTAAGCATAATTTGACAGCTAAGTTCTTTCCAAATGGATGCAGTATTTCTGCAGCCCATGCAGAGTGACTCTTTTAGTAGTAATTCAGTCTCAAACCTTTAAGACATAACTCAAAACTGACCTCACAAGTCAATTAGTTAGTGTAATTTAACCTTCACCCTCTTTCCACATTGAAATCAAATCATTGCCTTATAATCCTAGGGTAATTTCATCTTTGCTTTTGATGTTTGTTCTATTACTTTCAAATTTTACAATGAGTCAATACTGAAAATCTGCATAGATACAACAAAACAGGTCAAGGAAATATATCTGAATTCTGTGGAGAGGATTTTAAGGAATTTGGCTGATATGTTTTTCACTTCCATCTAAATAGATGAACTTAGCTGTTTGGATATTTTCCTAGAATTTTCAAAGATGGATGTGGCATTGCAAAGGAAAAGTCTGTAATTTACAAGAATGGAAAAGAAAGCATTTTAAAGAATGACAAGGGTTATGTCCAAAATGCAAACAGACCTTTCAGATTCAGATGCTTTCCATCTGCAAAGACTTAATGAATATTAAACTTACCCTGAAAAGAGCTGAGACAGTCTGGAAAGAAGAACCCTTCTTCTTGCCTCCTTTCTTGCCACCACCACCACCACCACTGTCTGTATATCAAAGTAAAAAGAAAAAAAAGTATTGGAATGTGGATATTGCAATTAGGAAATACAAAACACAAATTAGCTTTACAATTTTAGTATTTGTGGCTTTAAATCTGAGAAAAATTTCTCCCACACTGAAAATACAATTTTCACTGAACTGACCTGCATCTGCTCCACCATAGCTGGCAAAGAGTAAGGCCAAGGTCTTGACAGATGATTTCTGGTACAGCCCAATGACAGTTTCATTCAGGGGGTCCTTGTTCTTCTCCAGCCACCCAGTGATGTTGTAGTCCACTGTGCCAGCGTAGTGCACCAGGGAGAAGTGGGCCTCAGCCTTGCCTTTGGCAGGTTTGGGCTTCTGGAAGTTGTTGGACTTGCCCAGGTGCTGGTCATAGAGCTTGTTCTTGAAAGAGGTGTCAGTTGCCTTGGGGAACATGCACTCCTCTTCCAGGATGGAGAAGATGCCCATGGGCTGGAACGTATCACAGGAAATGACAAAGATGATAATGGAAATGTCCAAGGCCACATTGGATGGGACACTGACCAACCTGGTCTAGGGCAAAGTGTCCCTGTCTCTGGCAGGGGGTTAGAACGAGATGTTCTTTAGGTTCCCTTCCAACCCAGGCCACTCTGTGATTCTGTGACAATGACAAGAAACCTGTGCTACGAACATCAAAGGTACTACTGGGGTGCTTTAGCATCCCAGCCTGGATGAGGGCCTGGCTTTGTCAGAAGTTGTTCTCAGGCAGGGAGCCTATTTCTGCCTTCCCTTTGCCTCCCTGCAGCCAATCTTCATGGAACTGGTAAGGATGTCTGTCCAGTGCACATTGGAATTGGTGCAGAATTAGAGGGAGCAGTGCTAAACAGAAACATAATTGGGAAAAGAGCCACAAGAGGCCCTGTGGTTGTGGGAAGTCCAGTGAGATGATACTTATTGCCCAGATTTGTCTGTGGACTTCAGATTTGAGCCTTCAAAGGAAAAAGAAAGGGAGACTGACTTTGCTTTGTTTTAAAAGCACTCTCACTCTTGGTGGGAGTCCAGGCTACTTTTCCAAGCTTGAAGACCAGAAAATGCAGGACTGATGACACAGAGGTGCATTTCCCCATTTCTCTTCCCCAGACTAAACTAAATTTCAGTGCAAAATATTTTGCTTAACTGATGCTGCATGTCTGGCTCTGAGCTGAACCTGCCTCAGAAACATCGCATAATTCCAGCATTCATCATACATGTGTATGGGAGAGGTACCTTCTCAATGAGCTCAATGCAGGCAGCCAGGTCCATCCCAAAGTCAATGAACTCCCACTCAATTCCCTCCTTCTTGTACTCTTCCTGCTCCAGCACGAACATGTGGTGGTTGAAGAACTGTTGCAGTTTCTCATTGGTGAAGTTGATGCACAGCTGCTCAAAGCTGTTGAACTGCCCAAAGCAAGGAAAGGTGCACAGGTTCTCAAAGCGTGCCAAACACCACAGGCCTTTGCTGGCATTCTCCTAAGGCTGGTTGAAGTTCCCCAGCTGAAACACCATCCCCAACCCTACTGTCCCAGCCTGTGTTTCCTTAGCAGGGTTTCTATTGTACCACTCCCTGGCCTTGAAGGATTTTTTTATCGTTACCTCTGAAATCAAGCTACAATTCTTTTTCCCTGTGCTACTCAACAGCAAATCCTTTGGTAACTTCAGCTGCTCCACTGGGTATGTGTTGCAGGTTTCTGACCTTCTGGACAGTGGAAACCTCCTCAGTGTCTCACCCAAGGATTTCTCTGCCCTCACATCAATAATCTGGGGGTTTCTGTGCTCAGAAAACATGCTGGGAGCTTGCCCATGGCACAGCCTTTCCTTGGTTTTCCAAGAGCATCCAGCCTGTTGGCCCAAAGCTGCGTGAGCCTTAGTCCTCGAGCTCCCTCTCTGTTTGCAAAGCCTGAGACCTTTGCGAGCTCACGGGCCTCTGTTTGCCAGAAAGGCAATGTTAGAATTGGTGTTTGTCAGCAAAGCCTTTTGAGGGGGCTACAGTGGCAGAGAAGAGGGAGGGGTTCCTACAAAACATCAGATGAGAAGGATAAACTTTTGAGTCCTCTCGAAAAGAAGTGTGTGTCTGAGTCCTCATGACCCCTCCTCGCTCCTCGCTTGACTAGGGTGTCAAATCCTTGTTCCTTACATCAAAGATCTCAAAGCCAGCAATGTCCAGAACTCCAATGAAGTACTGCCTGGGCTGCTTCGTGTCCAGCTGTTGGTT